TGTTCTCTTGTGTGTAACCTGTGTTGATGGGTATCAGTGTGTTTGCCTACCTTAGCTGGTATGTATGTTTCTGAGTGTGTGTAAGGGGTACCTCTTGTCTCTGCAGGCAGATTTTCCTGGCAAAAGTCCGGAAAGGAAGGCTGTCTGCAGGATTTTGAGACTTCGTGGATGGCCTCGCCTGGATTTAGGGGTAGTACCTTAAGTATCTGAGACCTATGGGTGGGAGGGAATGGGTTGTCTTATGAAGTGCCTGTTTTTGGGGGATGGGTTTTTCTGGAAGAGGGCGTGCGTTGTGGGGAATAGGGAACAAGGGGTCTGGTTGTAGTCCTAGAGGAATTTGGAATATTGGCGGGGTCAGGGAGAAGAATAAGAGGAACTTCCTCCCCCATCATCATAGGCTGGGTTCCAGTGCTTGGAGAGGCTACATTCTTATATTCCCAGCCTTAGTTAAAAGCCTCAGGCCACAGTTCTCTTGGAAAGCCGTCTCAGAGTTTGTTGCTTCAGAGCCTTCTAACTCTGCCCTAACTCTAAGATCTTAAAGTTCCTGAGGAGTCTTGGGATTTTGGTGCGGGATGGAAACAAGAGGAGGAAGCATGTCTGGATGGATGAGACCTGGTAGGGAACAACTTGGGTTCCCTGCCCAGGGGGTTGAGAAGGTGGCATAAGGTGTTTCTTCAGGAGTTTTTGCAAGTGAGTCTGTGTGGTTTATCACATAGTTTCCCTTTTCCCTGGTGTGAAGCATGATTGAGATGGAGCTGTGGGTGTGGGGCCAGGGACTGACTGTGTGTCGGGAAAGGGCCAGGTACCCATTGCAGGCTATACTGCCATACTCATCGTCATGATAGTGTGGTGGGAAGTCGGTGACTATCCAGGAAGTGAATGTCTCTTTCCACCAAGAAGCCACAGCTCCCTTCTCTCCCTGTCCTCTCTCATCCTTTTTCTTTTGGGGTATAGGGAAGGGGTTGCTCACCTCCTTCTTAAGGATAGCCTTCCTCCATTGTACACTCTAGCAGTTTTCTTTTTGCTGCCAGTAGCTGGGTTGCGGCACCCAGTTTTAAGAGCTGAGGTGAGATTGCACATGCCCATTAGGGTCTCTGGGCAATTGTAATTGGAATGTTAGAGTCTCTAATGGGCATGTGCAATTGGAATGTTCCCTCTTTAGTCCTCAGGGCTCCCTACCCTCCCTAAGGCCTGGAGATAAGAGTAGTGGGAGTTAGAAAATGTTTGAATGAGGAACGGGGCAGAGTAGGAAAAGCCTTTTTTTTTTTTTTTTAATGGATCATTCCCCCAAACCCAACACCTGTCTGACAGTTAGGGCTCCCAGGGCTAGTAAGGCACTTGCATCTAAGATGGTGTGCCCTGGCCCTCTGGGGTACCTTGTTTGCTCTGTATACACTCATCACATGCATGATATATTATACTGGTGGGGGCTCTTCCAAGAGGAGGAATTGTGGTCAGATAATAGGAAATGCCATTTCTGAAAGTACTTCCACATTGGGAGTCGGTGGCCACGTTGGCCCCTCCTCACCCATTGTCTTGCTCCTGACTTCTACTTCCTCTAATTCTTCCGGGGCAGGCCTCTCTGGTGTGTTTGCCTCTTCTCCTGATCCTTTTAGGTCTGAGGAAATATCCCCCCTTCCCTGGCCCTAGAGCAGGACAGTCTTTTATCTGCTCATCTGGTTTCCAGGTCCTTCCAGTTAATGGGGAGGGAACTTGGCTAACAGAAGCTTTGGCAGGGAAAAGGAAGAGATCTGATCCCCTCTGAGTTTTAGAGATTCCAGTCTTCTCCTTCCCTCAAGTGTTCCTCACATTGTGAGGCCAGAGAAAGGAGTCAGAGTTGGTTGGAATTAGTACTTAACAGTGGTGTGATCTCGGCAAGTAATAAACCCCCTTCCCCAGCCTCTTAGGTGTCTTAAGGCACATCCTCCAAGCCTAGACTGAGCCCTTCCACAAGGAATCCCTGGTCCCCTGCCAAGTGGCTTTCTTCCCTGGTTTGCTTTTAAATTCTGGCTTTGTCACTTTCTAATTCTGTGACATCAGACAAAACTGGTAACTTTTTGAAGCCTCACCTGTAAATTGGAATTAATAATAGGCCCTACTTCTTAGGGTTATGAGGATTAACTGAAATAATAGAGAAAGCACGTTGCACAGTTCCTGGCACATAGTAAATGTTAGCTGGATGGTTTGGATTCTGAGGGATAATCATCGTTAAGGGAGAGAGGTCGGGGTCGGGACAGGAGAAATAGGCTTTGGTTCTGATCTTCCTCTGTCCGGCCACATTAGGCACTCTCCTATCTGCCAGGCGCTGTGTGAAGCACAGGGGATGGAGGGGCTAATAAGATGTTTCCCAGGGGAGACATGCGAAAACATGTTGATTCACTGCAGCCCAGTGAGTGCTGTGTGGATGTGTGTTCAGGAGGCCACTGGAGCATAGAGGAAGAGTGCTTGGCCCTGGGGTGAGGTGCCAGGGAAGGTTCCTGGAGGAGATGCCCCCTTAGCTGGATTAAAAAAAAATTAAGGTGAAATTCACATAATAGGAAATAAACCACTTTAAAGTGAATAGTGGCATTTAGTACATTCACAGTGCTGTGCAACAACCACCTCTGTCTAGTCCCCAAACATTTGCACCATCCTGAAAGAAAACCCATACCCATTATGCAGTTGTCCCCATTTCCCCTTACCCCAGCCCCTGGCAGCCACCAATTTGCATCCTGTCTCTATGGATGTACCTATTCTGGATATTTCATACACATGGAATGATAGAATGCGTGACCTTTTGAATCTGGCTTCCTTCGCTTAGCATAATGTTTTCCAGGTTAATTCACATGGTAGCATGCAGCATGTATTAGTACTTCATTCCCTTTCATAGCTGAATATTATTCCCTTGTGTGGATAGACTTTAGCTGGTTAAAGAATGAGTTAGGCCAACAGGAAGGGTCTGAGGAGGGCACTGCTGGTGGAGGCTCAGTGTGAGCAAGAAGGCACACAGGGTGTTTGGTAGTCCTGCACCTTGACATATGAAGTAGGGATTTGGCCTCAGTTTCTCTGTCTAGAAAACAAAGTTATCATCCCTTTCCTGCTTGTCCTATGGGGTTGGTAGAGTTGGAGGTATTAAGGGAGAAGAGAGGCTAGGGTATTATTGCCTCTTCTTAGGCTCTGGGCTAGGGATGGGACTTTTAAAACTTGCTCTTTCCTCCTCTTTCCTGGGCAGGAAACTGTATGCATCAACCCTTATCCTTGTGGGGAGCCATCTCCCTGTTCACTTGGCATCAGCTTCCCCTCTCTCTGAATTGACCTGAAATTTCCCCTTTTACCTTCCAAAGATGGGTAACCCTGTGCATGATGAGATTTTGTCAGCCTGGGAGTAAGTCCTACTCACACTCTAGCCTACGGCGGCCCTCGCCTTCTTTATCCTGTCTCTTGGTGATGTGGCTTGGGCAGCCCTCTCTCACCTTCTCTGTTGTGATCTGGCTAGAGCTGTGGTAGGCCAGGGAGAATTTTTGCTTTCCTTGTCTCTACCCTGCTTGGTACAGAATAGGAGGCAGAGGCCCTTTATGGTGGGGCCCTTTGGAAATGAAGTTTTGCTGTGCTTTGTCAGATGCCCCTGGCAAGGTTGGTAATTACAGACATAACAGCTGGGAACTGGTTTGGGAGAAGCAGGCTTGGAATCAGCAGAGCTGAGGATATCCTAGTAATCAGGGTGGGGCAGGGAGAGGGGAGAGTGGGAAGAAGCTGGGGGCTGGCTAGGGTGGGAGGCTTGGGACCCCCTTCCCCTGCCACTCCACACACAGCTGGGCACAGAGCCTAGAGGAGAGTGGGAGGTGATTGGAACCCAGGTCTGCCTTACTGTAAGTGAGGAAGGAGGAAGGAGAGGAAGAAAGTTGAGGGATGCAAGGGCCGCTGAAGAAAGAAGCAGAGAGGTGGAAGAGGCATTTTGGTTGCTCTCTCAGGCAGTACCTGGATATGGTCTAATTTAGAAGAGGGCCAACCCTGCACCTAAAGGTGGTTCCATCTTATTCTGGGGTGTTTCTCCTTACAGTGAGGTTATGGGAGCAGGCTGTGGACCCACGAAAGGAGAAAAGGTGGGAACTAACATTTTTTAAAGCATCTATTGTGTGCCAGAATCTGTAATATTTTGGATGCATTATTTTGCTGAAAACTCTTAACCTTCTGAAGTAGGCACTATTATTCCCATTTTATAGATAAGGAAACTGAGGTTTGGAAAAGAGGAGCGACTCACCTGAGATTACATAGCTCGTAAAAGACTGTGCCAGGTCTGACGTCAGTGCTCTTCCTTTTTCCCAAAGTTTCTTCACCTTCCCCGACTGTCATTCCAGTTAGGTCTGATTGCTCATTATTGCCTTTAATCTTGCACTTGAGTAATTCCCCCGTTTTCTGAAAAGCAAACATGAGTCCACTGTCAGCCTGAGGAGCAGAGAAGTCTACCCTTGAGGGTGGGAGTCAGAGAACGATCTCGTCTCCAGGAGGAGCACCTTGGTGTCATAAACCTGGGGCGGGGCTGGCATTTCTGCAGAAACCTCTCCTTGCTGGGCCATGATTTTGCAGAGTGGTTGAGGGAAGGGAGTGACTGTAGGTTCTGGCCACCATGGCCCATGGGATCTTGTTTGTGATTGGGAGGAGCCTGGTCCTTATTGTCTATAGGGTTTTTTCACAGCCCCTAACAATGTCCTTCAGACCCCTGTTTTCACCAGAGTGTTCTTGGCTCCCTCAGCCTAGTCAGAGACAGAGGGTGTGTTTGTTTGTGGGTCTGGGGAGGGGGTTCTGTTATTTATTTATTTATTTTTTTGAGACAGAGCTCGTTGCCTAGGCTGTAGTGCAATGGTATGATCTCGGCTCACTACAACCTCTGCCTCCCTGGTTCAAGTGATTCTCCTGCCTCAGCCTCCCAAGTAGCTGGGATTACAGGCACGTGCCACCATGCCCAGCTAATTTTGTATTTTTAGTAGAGGTGAGATTTCACCATGTTGGTCAGGCTGGTCTCGAACTCCTGAGCTCAGGTGATCTACCTGCCTCCGCCTCCCAAAGTGCTGGGATGAGCCACTGCGCCTGGCCTAGGGGGTCTGGATTTTTAGGGTAAGTAGGGTTTAGATAGGAACAGGTGCTGAGCCCGAGGTGTGAATGCAGTCACTTAAAAAACAACAGACTGTGAACAAAACATGCATTTTGTCACCTGCTTTACTTCAGGAATGGAGATGGTAGATATAAGGGATGGGGGAGATGATAATTTTCAGCAAAGAGTGAGAATCTTAGGTAGGGGGGTGGTCAAGATGGTGGAGGCTGGCTGGTACTTGGGCCTTTCAGCTGTCTCTGGTTTTCTAGATAAGAACTAGCCAAGTTGCCAGATCCAAGGCTCTGGGCTGAGGCAACAGGAGGTTCTCAGGATGGGGATACCCAGCTCTGCCACCCTCACCCCCAGTCACACTGTATCTCACACTCTACTGCCTTCCTACAATTCAGCCTTTCCTGACAGCGTCCCCATGTGTTCTTCCCCCACACTCCATCCTCACAGCTCAACTCCCCCCATCCACAGCAAGCCCAAGGTTGGCTAACTTCTCCTTCCCAACTAGCTGCTTTTCATGTCTTTGCACCCCAGGGCAGGGGCTGGGTGAGTAGGTTTTGAAGGTCTTTTGGGGCCAGGGACAGTTGCGGCCTACCTCGAGCAGCAGGCTATGAAGAGGGGGCATTTGTTTTTGGAGTGCACAGGAAGCTGACTTATGGGTCAGCACAGCTCACCCACCTCCCATTGTCCACCCTCTCCCTGAAGACACCTCAAGCTGCCTGTTTTCCTTCTTGGTTCTTCCACAGCTCACCTGGTGGGTAGGTAGGGGCCAGTTCTCTGCCTAGGTCAAGGGAGGAAGCAGCTCAAATCCTGGTGGTGGAAATGGTGGCGCCTGCCCATTGGTAAAAATTAAATGGAGAATCCAGAAGCCCTGGTTACCTTCCCACCAGCTTAGTGTCCCGTCTTCTCACCGGCCCCCACCTGGGACAGATGCCAGGGGGATTACTCACCTTTTCTCCTGCAGCCTTTCCACCCCCAGTGTTCTCTGCAAGACTGACTGGGAATGGGTCTGGGGAAGGCTAGGGCATGGAGTGCTATGGGACATGTATGTACACACGTGTGTGCGTTTGTGTGCTGTGTTGGGGGGCAGGTACGTCTGGGAGCTGGGATGGGGGTGGGGGTGCTGGAGAGACAGCAGAGCAGGTCTTTACAGAACCTGCCTAGCGAGGGTGGGTGGAGCTGGGTGGAGCAGGCAGGAGTGAGTCCAGGTTTCAGAGGGGCAACAGAGTGTGGGTGTATGTGTGTGGGGGGCAGGTGTTTCGGTGTGTTCTGTGGATTTAGAGGTCCCCAGCCTCACCCCCGGCCTTAGACTGAGGGAAATTAAGGAAGCAGGTGGAGAGGGGCTTGGCTCTGGCTTCCCCAACTGCTTTTGAATTAGAATGCAAGCTCAGGTATCCTGGCCAAGAGCCTAGTCTGTGGGCCCTTCTCCTGTGGTGCACCCTGCACTGCGGTCTGCTGGTGAGAAGCTGCTCTGGAAACCTAGATGCCTGGATGACCCAAGCACGGCCAGGATCCCACCCCTCCTCTGCCACTCAGCCCAGTGAGGAGAAGGATCCTGCCCCCACCCTGGGGCTATGAGGATGGTGAGCTCATGTCTGGGGCTGTCCTGGGAGAATGCCTGGTTAACAGGGCGGGGGTGGGGCACCTGGTGCCAGTTCCTGGGCTCCCTGCTCTGCCCTTCCCACCCCTCTGCCCACCAAGATCCAGCTGTTCTCTCTGGCCTCCTGGGCAGCACTGTCATCCGCGGACAGTCTTTTTCAGGGTTTAGGAATGCGGGTTGGGACAAAATCTCCACCCTGTTTGTGGTCCAGGACTGGAGCTGTTCCTTGCCTACGCTGTACCTTAGTCGTTTTGGTGATAGCAAAGCCTAGCATCTCTGGATGGGTGGCTTGCCCATGGCCCGAGGCTGGGTGGGGATGAAGGAACATCACGGTTCTTAGAAGTGGTAGAAGGATGGGTGCAGGAACCACCCCTTTTGGGGATAGAGGCTTTTTGGTTCTGGCTGTCTTAGCTGAGGCCTGTCTAGTCTCTGTTTCTTTGTCCCTGGTGAGAAGAGGGGGCAGAATGGAGTCAGCAAATCCTCTCCTGTCGTGGCCCTCTTGCAGTTGTGTCTACTCAAGGAAGCAGTGTCCAGAGCAGTCTCATGGAGAAACCTGGTCTCACTCCAAGAGAGCACCCCTCAAAGTCAGTGTTAGTACGATTTTCCAACAATCAGAGGAGGCCGGAAATGGGCTACTGTAGAAGTAGTGGCCATGAGAGAGTAGTGGCACCCAGAGAGAGAAGTAGTCACCTTCTCTCTCCGGGTCCCAGAGAGAGGCCCCTTTCAGCTTGGTGCTGGAAACTGTTGAGAAGAGGGTGATTCAGCCAGCTGTGTCCTCCTGAAGGGGAAAGGGAAAAGGAAAGGGGTGTCAGGGAGTGATGTGGGCATAGTCAGAGGTTCGGGTACCTTCCTCTCCTCTGTGGAAGCCATGTTGGGTATCTGCATTTTCAACCCACACCCATCAACTTCAGCCCCCTACCAGGGCCTGACAGCTCTGCCTGGGTTAAGCACATCTGTGAAACTCAGGGGAGGAGTGTGACAAGGAGGAAAACCAAGCAAGGCTGTGAAAGTGGGACAGCTGTGTCTCGAGTCTCTGCTGTGCCTTGCACTGGCCTTAGGCGTTAGTGAGGTGCCTGACTGCACAGAGAGCTAGCTCCTGGGATCGTGAGTTGGGAGGTTGGACTCTCAGCTTAGTTCCTGCCATCTCCACGGCTGAAGGTGGGCATCCAGCACTTTGAGTGGAACTTATATTGATATCCTTGGACCTTGGCACTACGGTTGGTGATGATTAGGGAGCCAGGCAGCTAGGGGGTGCCCACATGTATACCCCTGACCATGGGCTGCAGTGGGAAAGGGGTGCAGGGCATTTGCAGGAAGACCCAGGCCCCCGTGTAGGAATCGGAGACCTTTAGTGGGCAGGGGCCCACAGACGACTCTTCAGACAGGGTCTGAAGCAGTAATCACGCCCATTTCCCTGTGTTCAGGCAGAACCACCCTTCTTTAGTCCCTGACTGTGGAGAGGAAAATGGTCCTATCAGAGATCTCTGCTCCTGTCTGAGGAGAACTTGAGGCTTCTTGTCCTCTTTCCCGTCGTCTTCCCACCTGGCTGGAAGTCTTTTAAAAATCAAACCCAAGCACCCTCTGCAGCTCGGCTGGCTAGGTGCTTCCAGCCCTGTCCTTGGTGATGAGGAAAAATAGGTGCTCTTTTTAGGTGCATGTTTGTGCTCTGTCCCCGCCCCCCTTTTCTTCACGAGAATCACCCTGGTTTCCACAGCTCTTTCTCCCAGGCCCATCTTCATCTATGCTCTGTCTCATTACCCCACCCCAGGCCTAAAGTAGCTGGGACTGGGCTGCGGGGTGGGCCCGGGCTGCGGGGTGGGCCCGGGCTAGAGCAGTGGCAGGAGGTGGCGCCTGCAGCTGCCTGCGTCTGGTCATCGGTCCTCAGCACGCGCCACGCATGGGGGTGCTGGCATTTGTGTTCAACGCCTTGCCCACTTAAGCTGCCTCCTTTGAGTGGGAAATGGGAAAGGGTTGGTCCGCCCTGGTCTGTGTTTTGGCCAACACCCACCTCCCTTATACACACACAGACCCCCACACCCACACACACCCACATACACACTACTCTAGGGCCCTGCTCCCTCTGCCTGTTGCCAGGTTCTGAGTGTATTTTTTCCAGAGGCCTCCAATTGTTTCCTGAAGAAACCTGATCCCAGAGCTCAGACAAAAGCTGGGGCCGCCAGAGGAGAAACCCCATTCTCTCCTCCTCTGTCCCTATCGCCCCCACCTCTGTAACCTCCCTCCCTTTGGATGCTGGGTATGGGTTCCAGGACCCGGCTGCCATCACCTAGGCAACAGGGGGCTTTTGTTGCCATGGTGATCAATGTGGGAGAAGCTGGGCAGCCGGGACAAAAGCCCCCACATTCCCCCCCGCCGAGCTCCCCCCAATCCCCTTGGGATGATACTGAGACACATTCCATTAATTTTATTTCTGAAAGGCCTTTGGAGGGGAGAAGGGTCTCCTTTTTGTAACAGGCTCTCTCTTCTCTCCCTCTCTCCTCCCTGGCCTCTTTTTAACCCCAGATAATCCATGGTTGGTTTGAGCAGGGGACTGAGTGTGTGTGTTTGTGTCTTGGGAAGTGGGGGGCAAGGTGAAAGGCAGTGGGGCACATTCCTTTTCTACAGTCTCCCCCTTCCCCAGACTAGGGCAGCTCCCTGTCCTGCACTGAGTCCGGACTTCCCTCCCTGTCTCGTCATCCCTTTTGACATTTCCACTTGTTGATCTCATCCAGTGATCCCCTCCCCCCATCTCTTCCCTGGGAACGCTGCCCACCCGGGAGACCCTCCAAACCCCTGATTCCTGAGACTGATTAAATAAGGGGAACTTCTGCCCTTCTCTTTACTCCCCTCCCCTCCCTCCTCCCAGGCCCCCCAGCAGCAGTGCTTGGGTTAGTTCCCTGGGGTACTTGAAGACACAGCAGGCAAGGGTCTCAGAAGTCGGGTTCATTTTTGGTGCCTGTGTTTGGTAGGGAGGAGAGAAGCGTGTTTTGGTGCTTTTTGGGCTCCCTGACTTGGGTTGGCAGGCCAGGGGAGCAGGATTCATGTTGAGTCTTTAGTAAGTAGCAGGGGAGGAAGATTGGGGGCACTAGGCTGGGCAGCTCAGAACAAAAGGATGGGAGGGGACTGGCACCCTTGTCTGGTTTGAAATTTATCTGGAGGGGAAATGCAATGGCATCAGTTTACCTCCTGGGTGTGTTTGAAGTGGTGGTTCTGGTTGGTGTGCGTGTGTGTGTGTGTGTGTGTGTGACTTCTTTATTTAGTTGTACTAACAGCAGGATTTATTTATACCACCTCTTTCTCTAGTCTCAGAGGAAGTGTCTGGGGATTGGAGTATGAGTGATCCTGGAGCTAAAACTTGTTAGTTGCTTAACTAATTACTAGCTGAGCCATTTATAAAAGCACTTCTTTCACCCTCGTGATCCTTACGGCTACCCCATGAAAAAGGCATCATTATCTTCTCTATTTTACTAATGAGCTTACCAGGCTACGGGCACAGAGACGTTAAGTAACTTGCACATGGTCACACAGCTAGTCAGTGGAAGAGTTAGGTTTTAAACTCAGATCTTTGAGTGCACATCCCTGGCTCTTCTGGCTGTTGGCTTTGGCAGATGGTGGGTATACAGAGGATGAGGAGATGGACAGCCTGGGATCTAGTGTGTGTGTCTAGACTCTAGTCCATGGCAGTTGTTTACTTCTCCACCCCCTTTTCTACCCCCATGTCACTCTGTGACCCACTTATTATCTTTGAGCCTCCTGGCAAAATTCAGTTTTTATGAGGAAGACTAGAAAGAATAGGCTGGAACCACAAGAGAAATGCAGGTGAGATGTCTAAACTATATGGAGGGATAGGCCAGTAGAATGGGTCCTCAGGAGAGTGGGTAGATGAGCCCAACATATATTTTTCAGGTAAGTGGATAAATAAGGGTCATTTTTGCTGCAAAGGTTTTTGGAAAGTCTTATGGTTGGGTTAAGGTATTATGTCTCTGTCCTGTAAGTGTGTCCTTATCACACACATGCTTTGACATGGGGATACTGACAAATATAACTAAATCCTATGGAGGATTGCGTCTATAGAGCTCTGTTAAGAGGATGAATGAATAGATTTCACATTCATCTCCCTACAGTCATTATAGTTTCCCTGAGAGCCAGAGAGGTGTACAGTCATGGATGTTTTGGTCAACGATGGACTACATATATGATGGTGGTCCCATAAAATTATACTATTGTATTTTTACTGTACTTTTTCTATGTTTAGATACACAAGTATATACCATTGTGTTACAGTTGGCTACAGTGTTCAGTACAGTAACATGCTGCACAGGTTTGTAGCCTGGGAGCACTAGACTATACCATAAGGCCTATGTGTGTAGTAGGCTATACTACAAAAACACAAGGTTTGTGTAGGTACGTTCTATGATGTTCCCAGGATGCAGCTGCCTAATGACACATTTCTCAGAAAGTATCCCTGTGGTTAAGCGAGGCATGACTATGTTCATTTACTAGGTTGGTATCAGTTCCTTGCTCTGCGCCCATGGGAGGGGAGATTGATATAAATATGTATCAATCATATTGTTTATTCTCAAATTACTGATGGTTTAGAGTAGTCGGAGTAAAGGTAACTATACACAGCAAATCTATTTTAGTTTTTTTTTTTTTTTGAGACAGAGTCTCGTTCTGTCGCCCAGGCTGGCGTGTAGTGGCATGATCTTGGCTCACTGCAACTCCCGCCTCCCAGGTTCAAGCAATTCTCTGCCTCAGCCTCCCGAGTAGCTGGGATTACAGGCGCCTGCCACCACGCCTAGCTAATTTTTATAGTTTTAGTACAGATGGGGTTTCACCATCTTGGCCAGGCTAGTCTTGAACTCCTGACCTCGTGATCCACCCACCTCGGCCTCCTAAAGCACTAGGATTAAGGTGTGAGCCACCCCGCCCGGCCCCATTTTAGTTTTTAACATAATCAGCCTCTCAGCAGCATTTGACCTGGTTGACTTAATTGCCACCTCAAAACACTCTTAAATTTCTGGCTGCCTTGAGACCCCACTCTTCTGGCTCCCCTCCTTCTCTGGCCTTCTCATCCCATTTGCTCCTTTTCCTCTAGACATGTGTACATGTCGGGGTCCTTTATGTCCTTATGTAGTCCTCTCCCTAGGTGATTCCACCTATCCCCATAGCTTTTCACACCCTCAGTACCTCCAGCTCGGACTGTCCTCCGAGTCTGGCTCCTCTGATACCTGGCTGCCTACTGTCTCATGGCCACTAACTTAGCAGGCTAGAAGCTGAACTAATTGTCTTCCCTCACAAGGCTGCTTCCTCCCCAGTCTTCCCTATCCTACTGATGGTGCTACCATCTGTTCCCTTGCTCAGGCTGGGGATTCTTGACACTCCCGTCCGGCTCATTAGGTCCTGTTGATTTGACTGTTGCTCACTCTTCTGTGGTTCTACCCTTAGCAAGCCTGTACTACTGCAGTCACCTCCTTACTGATCTCCCTGTTTCTACTTTTCCCTCTTTTCAATCCATATCTGCATAGCTAAAATCCTTCGAAGTTTTCCTGTGGCCTTAGAATAAAATAAAGTTTATGCTCTTCACCTGGTGCCTGGCTGTCTCTGCAGTGCCACCTTCTACCGCCCACTCTCTTCCTCAACTCTGGCCCCACTGGCCTTTGTTGGTTCTTTAAATACAACACACTCTTTCCTGCCTTTGGCCTTCACACATGTGATTCCTCTGCTCCTTTGCTTGGTTAATTCCTGTTTCTTCTTCAGGCCTGTGCTGAGATGTCATTTTTTTCAGACTTTCTAGAACCGCTAAGTTTAAAGTAGCCCTTGCCCCATGTGGTGTCTCTCATAGTTTCCTGTTCCGCCCTTCCATCCGTAAGTATAAACGACCTGCAATTGGTCATTTATACTTATCTGCTTACTTGTTTGGTGTGCCCTCTTCCCTGCTAGAGTGTAAGCTCAGGGTTTGTTATACTACTTTACACCTAGCAGAATACATGTTCATAGAAGGTGCTCGAACAAGATTTGATGCGTCAATGACTGAAGATAGGAAGTAAGTGCTCAGTGGATGATGATGACTGTTAGGGGAGTCAGGGTCAGCAGGGAAGATAACATTGGGTGCTAGAGTACGTGGGGGCTCCTATGAGGGGGTGGGGCTGGGCTCTGAAGAATGAGCAGGATTTGGGTAGGAATTAGAGAGACGAGAGGTCATCCTCCTCTGCAGAATCAGAAGGTGAAGTATGGTTGAAAGATAAGCCTATAAGTAGGCAGATAAACTTGTGCCTTGCCTATTTCAGAACTTTAGGCAAGTAGAAACTTGTCTTCTCCTCCCACCCCCACCATATTATCCATAGTTTCCACCCCTCACCCTTACCTGGGAGTGTGCATACGAACCTGCCACACCTGATCTTACCAGTAACCCTGGGTGTGTTTGAAGTAGATGCTGGGGAGATGGTACCAAGGGAAGCAGCCCACTGTGGGCACACTCAGAAAGTATGAGTGAGGGGAGGAGGTGTAGCATGTGGAGGAGATGCCTGGGGTAGCCCCTGGACAGAAGCCAGCTCCTTTCTGCTCTCTGAGGTGTCCATTGGTTCAGCCTGTTGGCTTGGCCAGAACCTGCCCTCTTCATGCCTCAGTTTTCCTGGCTGAGAATAGGGAAGCAATGCCCTGCTCCTCCCTTTCAGAGGGCTTGTGGTTAGGTCATTCTGGGTGAGCCTTCCTGCCCTGGGAGCCTTTGCTAGCCATCTTCCCCCAGGCCTGAGTCCTTGGCACAAGCTGGCAGGGCTCTTTCTAGAGGAGGGTAGGAGGAACTGGGCCCAGTGGACAGCAGGAACCTGGGTGGAGATATTCTCAGGCCATGGCTGGGCTCATTTGAGCCTTCTGTGGCTATTGTGTGTGGATGGTCTTCCTCTGCTCTGACCCCATAGAGAGCTCAAGCCGCCTCTAACCAGCTTCTTCCTCTCACCAGGAGCGTCGCTGGATTTTCTCTGAGACAAGCCCACCCGTCCAGCAAAATAGAGTCCCTCAGGGTGACAGTTGACTTCCTGAAGGTGCCTCTTGGCCTGAAGAAGCCGGTGCTGAAGGAGGTGGCTGTGGGGCCCCCCAAGAGGCCCCAGCCTGCGGCCCTGGAGCGCTATAAGGCACGGCGTTCAGACGCCATGGACACCGAGTCCCAGTACTCGGGCTATTCCTACAAGTCGGGCCACTCCCGCAGCTCCCGCAAGCACAGGTGAGCAGGCATGTGGGGTGATGTATGGCGGAGGGAGGGTTGGGGGCTGTTAAGAGGTGGGCACGTGCAGGGGTGGTGGGGTAGAGTGGCTGCCGAGAAGACCCTGGTCCACTGCTGGACTTTCTGTACCTCTTCTGGCTTCCTGCCGCAGGGACCGCCGGGACCGACACCGCTCTAAGAGTCGAGATGGGAGCCGAGGGGACAAGTCGGTGACAATCCAGGCTCCCGGGGAGCCCCTGCTGGACAATGAGTCCACACGAGGGGATGAGCGGGTGAGCACCGGGGATGTGGTGGCCCAGACTGGGCATTTTCAGACTGCTCCTGAGGGGCTGGAGGCTCCACAGACTGGGGGAGGGCTTGGAAACCTGGTCTCAGACAGCTGCCAGATTGGGGAGTGTGTCTTGTGTTATACTTAGGTTGGCTCAGTATCTTAAGGTAGGACCTTCAGGAATTTCAGTATAGAGATCCCTCTGGAAGCAGCAGCCTCTCCTTCCTTATCTCCAGAGGCGTGGGGGGTGACCTGGGCTGTGTGATGGGAATTGCCCAGCTCCTCTGCAGCTGCTGCCAGCCGGTCAGGCCCGCTGGGAGTCTGGAGCAGGAGGGCGGTGGTGGTGGCTGGGCCTGGGGTGTGTGTGAGCAAAGCTGAGTTTTCCTGGAGCCTCAAGGTGTGGGCGCTCTGTGCCCTCTGGTGTCAGCCTGTAGAATGGCGTCACCTAGGTCTTGGGAAAGGAGTATGGGAAGAGTAGATGAAGAAAGCCTGAGGGAGAAGAAGTGAGGCTGAGGGATGGAGCAGAGACCCCCGGAGAGAGTTCTCCAGGACAGGGGGGAGCAGGTTTTCTATTCTAACCTCTATTGCCCGCTGTGCTCACCTGGTAGGGAGGACAGTGGACAGAACACAGTCCTGGAAGAGGGCAGAGGCAGGATTCGAGGTAACACTGAGGTTGCCCAAGACTCATTCCTCTTGGGAGCATCTCTGGGGGCTGGAGATTCCCAGCTCCTTTTTCCTCAGAAGAAATCCTTGTGACTGACATTGGGAATTCCTGGGCCTTGGGAGCAGGTCAATACCTGAAGGAAATGTTCTTTTTCCCTCTCTACCAATCCCTTCTCCCTGGGGCCTGGTCTCCTGAGTTCTTGAAGTGACCCTGAGGCATGACCAGCTCTCCTGCTGTTGGGGAGGAGATCCCAAGCCATTGGTCCTTGGAGGGGGTGGGCAGTATGTCTGGGGGTCAGAGGGCAGGGAACAGACCCAGGGCCTTGAGCTGAAAGCAGTCAGTGCATCCGCTTTCTATCTTCACATCAGACTCGTTCCCCATCCTGTGGAGAGGAGGTTCCTCAGCCTCCCTAATCACTGGTGCTGTCCGGCTGCCTTCATCCTGTAATCTGAACCTTCTAAGTGTCAGGATGTGATTCCACATCCCCAGGCTGTCCCAGGAGTGGAGGCTGTGGGTGCTGAAGGCGGCTGGTGGTCTTGGGACTCCTCTGTGGGATGACCTCCAGCCACTGCAGAGAAACAGCTTGAGCAGACCACACTTAGAGGGGCACCTGGGGACCTCATCCTGGCCACCTTCTTGCCTCTAGGGATAGGCATTTAGATGGCCCAGCAGAGGTGGCCTTGCAGACCAGAGACCCAGAGACCCAGGGTGGCCTTGAGTCTGCACAGTGTCCTTCACACCTTCATCCCTTTACCCCTGGGGTCTTCTCTTCTTCTCTGTGCTGCTTTGGTCAGGTTACTCCCTTAGTTGGAAACCTTCAGTGGCTCTCCATGCCTGGAGAATAGGTGCTTATTGCCTAGCCCAGCACTGCAGCATGGCCTGCACAAGCCCCGCCTGGCTGTTCTCTGCCTCACCTTCCTGGTTGCACCTTGCTGTGCTTCTGCACATGGATCCTCTGCTCTCATAGCCCTTGGGTGCCTCAGTTCATGCCATTCCTGCCCTGGAGGCTCCTCCTCTAGCTTCTGCTGAAATCATGGCATGCTGGAAAGAACTTAGATAGGACTTCCATAATTTTTTTTTTTTTTGAGATGGAGTTTCGCTCTTGTTGCCCAGGCTGGAGTGCAATGGTGTGATCTTGGCTCACTGCAACCTCCGCTTCCTGGGTTCAAGCGATTTTCCCACATCCCAGCGATTTTCCCACAGGCACGTGCCACCACGCCCGGCTAATTTTTTTTTTTTTTTTTTTTAATTTTTAGTAGAGACAGGGTTTCTCCATGTTGGTCAGCCTGGTCTCAAACTCCTGACCTCAGGTCATCCGCCCACCTTGGCCTCTCAAAGTGCTGGGATTACAGGCATGAGCCACTGCGTTCAGCAGGACTTCCAGAATTAATGTTAATGTTTGAGTGATTCATGTGGATCTTGTTAAAATGCAGATTCTGGTTCAGTAAACGTGCGATGGGCCTGAGGTTCCGCCTTTCTAACCAGCTCCCAGGTGATGTCCACACTGCTGGTCCACAGATCACATTTTGAGTAGCCAACCAGCCCTTAGAGATCATTTAGTTCAGCGATTCTCAATCTTGGATGACCACTACAATCATCTGGGGAGGTTTTTTTTTTTTTTTTTTTTGAAAAGGTTCACAAGCAGATCGTATTCCCCAGTAATTAGTATTATTTTCCAACCTCCATTAAGTGTTCTAATGTGTGCATCTGGGATTGGGAACATCTTCCTGGGAGCTCCCCTCCCCCAAGGATCAGCTCAGGTCCCACCTGCCTGCTTTGCTTGGCGAGTTTGCCCTCGGATCCCAGTCACTGCCTGAGCAGCTCCTTCAGTATTTGTCCTGTGCTGTCTGCTCTGAGGGTCATTACCGCATGTGTGGTTTTTTCCTCTCTCACTGACCAGTGTCCAGCTCCCCCAGGGCTCGGGTCTTGGACTTGGCCATCTGCAGAGGCCAGACTTGGACACACAGTGGAGCTCAGTAAATACTTTGATGGTTGCGTATTTGTTGATTACTCTCTCTTCTTTCTGCCTTCTCCTTTCCCATGTGTTCCTCTCTGCCTCCTCTCCCCTCGCCCTTTCTCCTGTTCATCTCCTCTTCCTCTTCTTACCCTTTCCTCCTTATTGTGTGGCTGGCCCCCTTCTGCCTGTAGGATGACAACTGGGGGGAAACGACGACAGTAGTAACGGGCACCTCAGAGCACAGCATCTCCCACGATGACCTCACGCGCATCGCCAAGGACATGGAGGACAGTGTCCCTCTGGACTGCTCCCGTCACCTGGGTGTGGCGGCAGGGGCCACCCTGGCGCTGCTGTCTTTCCTCACGCCGCTGGCCTTCCTGCTGCTGCCCCCACTGCTGTGGCGGGAGGAGCTGGAGCCTTGCGGGACGGCCTGCGAGGGCCTCTTCATCTCTGTGGCCTTCAAGCTGCTTATCCTGCTGCTGGGCAGCTGGGCTCTGTTCTTCCGCCGGCCCAAGGCCTCGCTGCCCCGCGTCTTTGTGCTGCGCGCCCTACTCATGGTGCTGGTTTTCCTGCTCGTGGTCTCCTACTGGCTCTTCTATGGTGTGCGCATCCTGGATGCTCGGGAGCGCAGCTACCAGGGCGTGGTGCAGTTCGCCGTGTCGCTGGTGGACGCCCTTCTTTTCGTACACTACCTGGCCGTGGTCCTGCTGGAGCTGCGCCAGCTCCAGCCTCAGTTCACGCTCAAGGTCGTGCGCTCCACCGACGGCGCCAGCCGCTTCTACAACGTTGGCCATCTCAGGTACTAGCCCACGGCTGGAGAAGGGTTGGGAGGGAAAGGGCATGGGAGGATGTGGAGTGGCTGCTAGGGTGGGAGGGTGTGATGGTGGGCTGGAGGTGATGGGCTTGGAGGGCTATGTGGGAGGGAGTTGAGTACTTTGCACCAAGTAGGTTTTCACCAATGTTTGCTGCTTGATGGGCAAGTTCATGTACACGTCGTGGGGCAAGATCAGTTGGGAGTTACGAGTTGGGAATGAGCAGGCATTTAGAGGTAGGGAATATTAGAGGGGGATGAACCAAAGGGAAGAAATATTGGGGGGGGTGCACAAACAGGGGCTTTTTGGAATCCCCTCTCTAGTGGAATCCCCACTCTTTCTGGGAGGCACAGCTTCTTGTGAGCACTCAGTGGCCTGTGAAGTGACCTGGCCAGAGGAGGGATCCCCAGAGAAAGAGATAAGGAGGAGAGTTCTTCAGCTGCCAGTAAACAAGCTACCCCTCGAGGCCACACAGAGTATCAGTGGCACATCCTTGGTCCTGTAGAGAATCTTGGGGGAATGCCGGATGGGGATGAGGTGATCTTTGACTGGGGACCCAGGCCCAGTGCCCTTTCTCTGCTGGGCTTTGGCATGGCTGGGAGGGACTGGAAGGCCCAGCCCTGGGGAAGGCTTGGGAGCCTGGTAAGTAGACCTCAGGCCCAGAGTCGGGCTTCTTGGAAGCAGCTTGTCCCTGTCCTGTGTCCTCTCCTGCCCTGCCAACCTGCCCTAATGTGTCCCTTCCCCTGTGCCCCTTGTCTGTCCCTTCTCCGCTCCCTCCTGCCGTCTCCCCCACAGCATCCAGCGCGTGGCAGTGTGGATCCTGGAGAAGTATTACCATGACTTCCCTGTCTACAACCCTGCCCTCCTCAACCTGCCCAAGTCCGTCCTGGCCAAGAAAGTGTCTGGCTTCAAGGTGTATTCCCTCGGAGAGGGTGAGCAGCCCTGCTCCTCTGCCCTTCCCTGTCTCTTCCCAAGCAGGACTCCAAGTTCCCGCCTCTCTCTTACCCTTCGTCCCTTGCTTTTTCCTTTCCTTAGCCTATGTTCCAGCCGCTTCTGTTCAGTCACTTCCCTTGACTCCAGGTGGCTGAGCTGCTCATCCTACTTGCTGTCCCTTTATGCTATGGCGTGTCCCCTGATCTGGCTCCTCAGTATCTCTCATCAGCCCTGGTCTGAGCCTTTCAGCTCTTGGAGCTGCAGAACCCCCTGCACTGGGGAGGAACACCTGCAGGACTCCTGCGCCTCCAGTGCCTTCCTTTTTGCTTTCCTGTGGCCCCTCCCAGAGGTGGCCAGGAGAGTTGGGATTAGGAGGTATTGCTGGGTGGTGGGAACAGCTTCTTCTGGACATGTCAGGCTGCTGTCTCCAGAGCTCCTGGAGTGGGAAGAGAGGCCGCACTCTGATGTGACCATCTCCTCTATCCTGTTCTTGTGCAGAAAACAGCACCAACAACTCCACTGGCCAGTCTCGGGCTGTGATCGCAGCGGCAGCTCGGAGGCGGGACAACAGTCACAATGAGTACTACTATGAGGAGGCTGAGCATGAGCGAAGGGTGCGCAAGAGGAGGGCCAGGTGGGTCCCTGGGGGAGAAGAGGAGGGGAGGTGCTTGTTGGGTGAATGGGGAGAGGAAGACCAAGGAACTTCTATAACTGCTGGAAATAGAGAGCAATGATGACATGAGTGGGGGGTGTGTTTGTTTTCCATTGCTGCCCTAACAGATTACCATAAACTTAGCAGCTGTGAAACAGCACACATTTATTATCTCCCAGTTCCGTGGGTCAGGTGTAGGCTGGCTGGAGGCTGTGCTCAGGCCTCACAGGCTGAAATCAAGAGGACTCTCATCTGAGCCTATGCTTTCTCTTTCAAGCTCATTATTACGGGGAGAATTCAGTTCCTTGTCACATAGCCCCATAGGCAGTTTACAAGATGGCAGTGCACTTTTTTTCCCAGCAGAAACAGGTCTCTAACTTCTGCCACCAGCTGGAGATAACTCTGATTTTTTTTCTTTTTTTTTTTTTTTTGGTAAATTTTTAGTAGAGATGGGCTTCACTATGCTGCCACTGGTCTTGAACTCCTTGACCTCCATGATCACACCCGCCCCAGCCTCCCCAAAACTGCTGTGATTACAGGGTGGAGCCCACCACGCCAGCCCAACTCTGATTTTTAAAGAGCTCAGTGTGATTAGATCAGGCCCAACAGGACAGTCTTCTTTAAGGCCACTGACTTGGCAACATTAATTAACATCTGCGAAATGTACCAAGATATGTGTCTATGAGGATGGGAGTCTGGTAGAAGTGGAGGCTATCTTGAATCTGCCTGCCACAGTGGGGTAGGGACCCAATAAAGGGATGAAGCTTACCTGCACCAGCACAGGACTCAGGCTAGACTAGCCCGCCTACCAGTAGATCTAGAGGGGGACTCACCAGATGGTGCTTTTGTTGCCTTCAAAAATGAGGTTTTAGTGCCTATATTTTGGGTAAATTCTAAATGCCATCTCGCTTCTCCTTTCCCTATTCATATTATTACGTGAATTTAGTCAGCTCTGAAGAATCTTACTTGGTGCCTACTCTGCCGGGTTCCATCTTGGTCTGTCGGAGAGTTCCCAGGCAGGAGCAAAGTGCCTTGGACTGACTACACACCTGCCCTCCGCCCATCCTCCCACACCATCTCCAGGTTTCAAGGGCAAGAGTAGCCCTACTCTGTTCTTATATGAGCTGCAACCCCGTAGTAGAAAAAGATCAACCACGCCATTTCTGTGGCATATCCAATCTCTCTCTACATTGTCTTGGAAAGGCCCTCCATGGGAAGAAACCAGTGATTCCCCTACCCCTTACCTCTTCCTGCCTGGACCCAGGGTCCCCCATCGCTGTTGCCTGCCCACCACCATTTTTGGCACATTTTAAAAGGGAAAAAAAAAAAAAAAAAAAGGGACTCCTTTCTTCCCCATTACCGTGCTTGTAACCAGGACAAACTCTTTGCCTTTGTTACTGAAAATAAAAAGACTTTCAAAGGGAATTTACTGAGAAATGTAGGGAAAGCAGAATAAAGAGAAATGAATAGACATACACAGATCCACACCTACAATTACCCAATCCCATCAAATGAACTCAAGTCCTGGGTCCGGGTTCTGCATAACAGGTCCTCCACTTCTCTTTTTGTCTGTCACTGTCAGGCTGGTCCTGCTCTTTGGCCAGGGGCTTTGTACTTGGTTTTTGGACTTGAAGTGCAATAACTTGGGATTAATGGCTCTTTTCAAAGCTCTAACATATTGTCATTATAGGTTTGTTCATTGGTTCTTTGTTCTGTTTTTCTTTTCCTCCAGTTCCCACTTCACTCCAGCCCACATTTGGATGCATCCAGTTGAAGTTGTTTGATTTCCCTATAAACCCATATGTGTCCTTGTGCAAGTTAGTGCTAGTGTAGTGATCTTTGTTGGTGTTGTTGTCGTGTGTTTATGCTTTGTTTTTTTTTTTTGAGACGAAGTCCTTGCCTCTGTCCCACCCAGGCTGGAGTGCAGTGGCGTGATCTCGACTCACTGCAACCTCCGCCTCCTGGGTTCAAGTAATTCTCCTGCCTTAGCCTCACCAGTAGCTGGGATTACAGATGTGCGCCACCATGCCCATCTAATTTTTGTATTTTTAGTAGAGATGGGGTTTCGCCATGTTGGCCAGGCTGGTCTCGAACTCCTGACCCCAAAGTGCTGGGATCACAGTCATGAGCCACCGCGCCCGGCCATCTGTATGCTTTTAATGTAAATGGACTTCTTTTTCCTGCTTCCTCCTTAACACTGAGTTTTTGAGATTCATCCAAGTTGCCTGTACATCTAGTTTGTTGCATCTTTTTGCTGCACAGTAGTTCGTGGAATACTCCCAACATCCTATCCAGTATTTGGTTTATAGTTACTTCTTTCTTTTTTCCATTTTGATGGAAAAGTAGTATTTTACTAACATTTTCATTTGCATCTCTCTAATTGCTGGCCAGTAACTACTTCGTACATTCTTTAGCCTTTCAGTCCTCTTGTGAATTTTCTGTTCACCTCCTTTTTTCTCTAGGCTTCCTGCCTTTTTCTTCTTGATAGAAATTGTAGCAAATTCTTTGCATGTTCTAGATATGAATCCCTTGTTGGTTTTAGATGTGTATATTTTCCCCAGCTCCATCAGATGTCAGTTAGTGTTGCCCATGCGATCATGGTTGAATAGAAATCTGTCTTTTTGATGTAGTCATATCTATTAATTGTTGACCCAGTGAAATATGATTTGGGGGTCTTATTTAAGAAGGTTTTCCTTAAAGTTGGATGGAATGCTTTGTCTTTCCTATAGCACAGTTCCCAGTTGTCTCTCTGGGGTTTGACACTAGGTTTGCCCTCTGAATCCCTGGGTTGGGCCCAATGAACTCTGACTGTTTACTGTTCCCAGTGGGAGAAAGGCACGATTGCCCCTGGCTTTGTATTGCTTTGGGTGAGCACAAAGGCCTGACCTCATTCAGGCAGCTGGAGTGTTGGAGCTAGGGGAGAGGGGTGGGGTGGTGGAAAGAGAGGTGGGCACCTGGCCCAGTCCCCTCCTGTCCCCTAGGCTTGTAGTGGCAGTGGAAGAGGCCTTCACTCACATTAAGCGGCTGCAGGAAGAGGAGCAGAAGAACCCCAGGGAAGTGATGGACCCCCGGGAGGCAGCCCAAGCCATCTTCGCATCCATGGCCCGTGCCATGCAGAAGTACCTTCGGACCACCAAGCAGCAACCCTACCACACCATGGAGAGCATCCTGCAGCACCTCGAATTCTGCATCACGCATGACATGACGCCCAAGGTAGGCCTGCCCTGCTGCCAGCATCCTTCCTCCTTCCCCAGCTCCTCTTCCTTCCCACATTCATTTTCCCTGATTCTCTCACTACTTTCCTCACTGTCCACCTCATTTCTCTCTCCTCATCACCTCCTCTTTATAATCTTCTCTCTCATTCCTTTTCCACCTGCCCCATCTGTGTGGGGTGAAGTCTTTAGGTGGATGAGGAGAAGGGAGTCCTCAGGACCATTTTTGGGGATGGCTGAGACTTAGTTCTTATCTCTATGAGGGCTCTGGAATTACCAGATCCAAAGGCCCATCTTTACCCCCATTACCCTCTTCGCCTCCACTAGCTGGTCTTGGCTTTGTGTCATTTGGAGCCATTGCCCACCCTTAACTCTATTGCCAGCTTCCAAGAATTGCTTTCCCTGAGCCACCCTTGGTGAGCAGGTAACTAAAGATGTTGCACTTTAACCTTGACACCTCTGGCTCCCTCCTGGTGCAAAAAAACAAAACCTGCTTGGCATTAATCATATAAGCTGTGTGGGAAGGAAGGAAGAATGAGGGAGGGCTTACCCAGGTCACAGCCTGGTGCAGGGAGAAGAGCAGCAGATGGGGGTCAGGGGAGCCGAGTTCAGTCCTACCTGATGAGCCACATCCCCTTGTGCACTCCAGCTTCCTCATTTATAAAATGAGGGTCTGAAGCAGATGATCTCAGGCCCCTTCCTGCTGTAACATTCTGCAGTTCTAGTTCATATGCATAGAGTGAGCTCAGGGACGTCCTTGTTGTCTTTGGAAACTGTGCCCCAGGGGATGAAGGATAGTGCGTAGGCGACAGAGATTTTTATTCAGCCCCTTCTTTTCTCTTCAGGCCTTCTTGGAGCGATACTTGGCGGCTGGACCTACCATCCAGTACCACAAGGAACGCTGGCTGGCCAAACAGTGGACACTGGTGAGCGAGGAGCCGGTGACCAACGGGCTTAAGGATGGCATCGTTTTCCTCTTAAAACGCCAGGACTTCAGCCTGGTGGTCAGCACTAAGAAGGTCCCATTCTTCAAACTCTCCGAGGAATTTGTGGATCCCAAGTCGCACAAGTTTGTCATGAGGCTGCAATCTGAGACCTCAGTGTGACTGTGCAACAGCAGGGGGGAGTGGGAGACTCTGGGGGGCTCCTGAGGGAGTAGGAAGGGGCTTGGTTCTCAGGCCCAGCCACATTCCTGCCACCCTTCTTCTTCTTGCTCTTGTTTTTTTTTTGTTGTTGTTGTTTTTGTTTTTTTTTACTTGAATTAACTTACCCCCACCTTCTCTCGCCTCTTCCTTATTTTACCCCATGTGAACCTGGACCATCCTGCTGTCAACAGTACCTGGGAAGGACCCCTCTCCCCTGCCCCCAACAACTTTTGTATTACTCTAGGCGCTGCAGGAATCAGTGCCTCTCTCCCTCTTCTTTCCCTTCCTAGTCTTTTCCCAGATTGCAGTCTCTCCTGAAAGGGCACAGGACCCTGCTAATTGTACCTTCCCCTCCTGAGCCTCGACTCACAAACCCAAGTTCTTGCAGCATTTCTCTTCAGTGGCCCCAGCAGGGTTTCTCTGGGGCACATGGTCATGACTCCAGAGAGCCACAGTGCCAAATTCCTCCAGGGCAGCAACTAGCCCTCCTGTCCCTCACACCAGCCACAACAAACCCTGGGTTCTGGGGCAGGGATACTCCTGCCACACAGTCTGAGTTAGGAATCTCCTTGCCAGGAGCATTTGCTTCCACATATATTTAGAGCAAAGAAGGATCCCATCCTTTTCCCAGAAATCTCCGCCTCATGTTTTTGGTTTGTATGGTCACGTGACCATAGGCAAACAAGTGGAAACTGTCTGTGACCACTTTTCCAGGGACTTGGGGGAAGGTACCTTTCTTCCAATGTGTCTTTCCTAGGCAGTCCCTGAGGAGGAGGGCTGAATAGATCCCTGAGGGTTTGGAGAGACCCCCATCATTGACTCCTGCTCCCTGACCCTACCCTCACTTTCCTCCCTGCTCTTCCCAGTGAAGGATGGTAAGTCCTGTACAGACTTAGTGGCTTGCAGACCCTGACCCAGCCCCTGTGGTCTTAGACAAATGTTTTTATTTTTGTCATCAGCCACCCCTGTCCTGCTGTCTTCTCTCGACTCCAGAGACCTGTTGCCTCATCTCTTTTGGGGAAGAGCTGGCAGCTCCTCCTCATCCCCTGCCTTAAGTCCAGTTCTTTGCCTCAGGGGTCTGGTTTCCTTGGCCTTCCAGGGTCCCTACCCCTTTTCTCCCTGCCTGATTCTCTGAGCTCTGGGCTCCCTCTGTACTGGGTTGACGGACAAGGATCACTGCCTTTTGTAGGTACTTCACCCCTCACCCCATTTTAGCTTCCATAGTCTTTGCACCAAATCCAAATTCTTGATAATTTAGATCTCATTTTGAGCAAAATTTGCTGGTCCTCTAATAAATCTTTTCAATATAAATCTGAGCCTTTGACTCAGACATTTTTGCCAAGGAAAATAGAATTAGGAAGTACCCATATACATCTAGCCAGGATCCACATGGAGGACCTTTCCAATGGCTGCAATGACTAGGCCATTCCTCTGAGTAACTCACAGTGTCCCTTTGTAGGCCCTTCTTTTCCCTAGAAGACTTGTTGGTACTTACCTTGCAGAGCACATCCTGGGATAAGATCCTCAGGGTCTCACCTGGGCGGCCCCCTCTCTGTGTAGTGCCAGCCCTGGGAATGATGGAGCCTAGTGATCGGGGTTTCTCCTGCTGTCCTTTCTGCAAAAGTTCACCTGTTCACCCACCACATGCCAGAGAGGGGCTCATTGGCCAATGCCTACCTTGCCCCCAAAGGGGTGGGTTGTGGAGCTCACTTAGGCATGGCCTCTGGCTGGGGCCAGGGTTACGAGATAGGCCTGTATGAAATACGTCCTGTTCTAGGGGTCTGTCTCTTTTCTTCTCTTCAAAATCCTTGTGTCAGAGGAGTCCCTTCTTAGTCACATAAATACCTCACTATCCTGGAAAACAGGGCCTGGATGGTGACTGGGGTCATTGCCTTTGGGGGCAGGATGGAGTGTGGTATGGTCTGAGGAGCAGATTGGGGTTGGAGAGAGGGAAAGGATTTGGGATCTTAGTTGCTGTCCTAGGTTAGGGGCAGGGGAGTGTTTATTTTAAGATCCTGCCATGTTTTGAATCACTGTGATTTTTTTTCATTCCCCTTTCCTAAAAAAAAGAATTTTCTCCTCCAACTCTCTCTCTAAGCACTAAGGGCTGTGTCTGAGAATGGTAACATTTTGGTCTTTTGCGTCAGAACTGTGGTATCTGTCTTCTTTCATTGTTGTTGTTGTTATTATTATTATTATTATTATTACTTTTGTTTTTTAAAATGTCAGGATGAATTGTCAGACGTATGGCCATGTGTTTGTCCTCTGCTTCTCCTCTGTGGGAAGTTGTCTCCATGCTGTAAACTGCTGTGGGGTGTGCGGCTGACTCAGTCCCTCTGAGCAGTTTCCCCACTGTGTCTGTCCCATCATGCGCTGGATCTGCTCATTCTCCTGCTGTGGGGGTGTGCCCACCTCTTACCCCCTAGACACCATAGGGCTGCTGTGGCTGGGCCTCTCCAGTACTCTCTTTTGTGTGACTCATGGCATCCTCGCTCATCCCCACCGTGCCTAGCAGGCCTTCCTTTTCACCACCTCGGAACGCTTGCCCTTCCTCCCTCCACACCAGGACGCTGTGCCTCAGTCCTTCACCTACCTCGCCACTCTGCCACTGTCCTCATTGGTCCTTTCTCCTAAACTAGTCTTTGTGCTCTCTTTTTTTCTTGTTTATTTCCCTCTTGTCTCTCATCTTTTCTTCCTCTTCCCTCCCATTTCAGTCCTTTGCTTTTCTCTTTCCCATCTCCACTCAGTATTCCAATGGCAAACCCTGATGTAACACCTTTGATGAGACATCGGGCTCTCCGGAACTTTCTCATTTGACACATCTTTTCCCCAGGGTTTGTACTTCTCTTCTTTCCCAGGCGAACTCCCCTGTTCCTCTGTGGTGTCTGTCAGTCTGTCTGTCTTCTCCTTCCTCTGCCCTTCCCACGGGGCAGCATCTGCTGATGGATTCAGTCCTGGTGTGTGATTGTTGTGATTTGTTCTTCTGTGCGCAAAAGGAAGGGGGCTTTTTGAGTCCCTTCCAAGTGAGATTGTAAATGTAGAATTTTCCACTGTTGGATCTAGATTTTTTTTCTTTTTTTGGGGGGGGTTACAGAGCTGAGACCTTGTGCATGCATGTAGAAAATTGTAAAATGTAAATTTTTTTTTAATATATAAAAAGCTTGTTTCTACAGTTTGCAGTGGATCTAAACATTATGGCAATTTTAGGGTTTTTTTCTTAAACATAGGAACTAAAACTGTACAAATTTTTTTTTATATAAAATAAAGACATTTGACTTTTGTGGGGGCATTCTGTTGCTTTTCTTTCTTTACAGGAATGGGAGCAAAAGAGGGCCAGGGGAGAATGAATATATACTCCTTGTTAGGGAGGGAATGGGCAGGAGGGGGCAGTGTGAGCCCGTCATTGCTCTACAGGCCTTCAGGGTGTGTTGGAGAGACATGGGAAAATGAAAAAGGAAATTGCTTATTCCGAATCCTGATTCTAAAGAGAGAGAAACAAGAATATGAGGACTCAACCACTTCCTGGTGTAGTTGTCAGGATAGAGAAAGAAACATTATTTCCTGGGTCCACTGTCCTGAGCAAGCTTGTATCTGTATGGCCTCTAGGACAGGAGTGGGTTTCCAAAACGTCTTTCTAAAACAGAAAGTGCCATAGGAATTTCAGGGGATAGTTGAGATTTCAGTCAATGGTGACAGCTCATCACAATTCATTGAGACAAGTTTCTGAAGTATGTGTCTTAGTTCTAAATATGTAGAGAGCTCATTGCTCCATTGTCACTGTAATGCATGTAATCAGGCACTAAAATCATCCTCAAGAGATTGGGGCCCTTCTCCCAGTCTTACCTGGACCTGACCTCTGTGACTTTGGGCAAGATGCTTCACGTGTAAACAGCCTACCAAGGTTAAAAACAAGCATTTCTGTATGGAGATGGCCTATTCACTAGATTTCCTCCTCTTCTCCCCTGCCTCATACTCTGCCAGGCTCTGAGGATGCAAAGGCAAGAGAGGCTCCACCCTGGAGGATGACCCAGTTTACAGGGGTGACAGGCCGGGTGACCCTAGTGCAAGGCTTCATGGTGTGTTCTCAGGCAGAGTGTAGACAAACCCTGGCTGAATTCCAAGGAGCTCGAGTTTCCTTCTTCAAGAAATCTAGGGAGTTTGTTTAAGGCTCAAGATGGGGGAACACCCTTACCTTGAGATTACGTTTTGTTCATCTAAGTATTCCTAGAATCGAAACCAGTTCCTCACATATAGTTGGTGCTCAATAAAAAATTATTGAATGAATAATGAACTTAACAACTAACAATACAATAGGGGCTCATGAAGGGGATCATGTACTTGCTTCTCCCTTTAAAATTACACTCCAGTCTTTCTCATGTGAAAACAAACAAAAATACTTCCCCCTTGAAACTGCATCCCCATTCTCACAGCTCTGTTCTTTTTGTAACTAGGCTTGTAGAATAGTTTCACTTGCTGTTTTCAGTTCATTTCAGAGTCAACTTGTGACTTACATTGTGACCAAATTTCTACCTTAGCATGCCTCTGAAATTATTCTTGTTCTCAACAGTGAAGTGAAGTATAGTAAACACCTTTTAAGTTTATTCTTTATTTAGTGCCTATGATGTTCCCAGCCTGATGCTAAAGTACTTTCTCTGGTAAAGATATTGGATATGGTCCTGCCCTCTCTGAGCTAACCTTAGTGGACCCTTGAGGAGCCTAGTTAACCTCAGGGACCTCCTCCTGTAATGCTGGCCCCAGGATTTCATAGATTTAAAGCCAGACCTCAATATTTGATTGATAAGATCATATTTTCTCTAGAGGTTTGCTGCAAGCAAAAGTGATAATCCTGACCATTTGTCATGCAGCAAAGAGTATTAGTAACTTTTGTCTGAAAGGATGTGTTTTCCATGGGAGTACTTCACATAGCACTGAAGTTAGGGACCCAGCTTGGTGGATTGTCAGGGTCATGCCTGGCACTTCATGACATTATATGTGATTATATGTGATTACATATGCTGCCCATGTGTGATTTTTGTTTTTTAGCCTTTGCCTTTGAAATACAGCTGAGAGGGGGAACTGGGGGCTGGGGCTCTGGACGAGGAGATATAAAGATCTTTAGACCAAGGTCTCACTGATTTGTTATTAGTTTTTTATTTTTTAATTTTAATTTTTTTGTTACTTTTTGTTTGTTTGGGATAGCTTAATGGCTTCTACAGATTGAAAGTCAGCTTGCTTAATGTAACCCTTGGCTTTTTCATACTTTAAGCATATGATGGTAATGCTCTTCCAATTGCCAGGAAGGCTGGGGTAGGGGAAAGTGAGCCTTTGGAAAACCACTGCAGCATTAGTATACACAAGGTCATAGAAGATGCTAGAGAGATAATAAGGGAGCACCTACATAGTAAATCTTGGAGAATAGTCATCCCTGTCCAGTTCCCTAGTTTCTTTTTAGGCTGAGAATGGGGTCCATTTCGCTTGGTACAAAGGACAGGGCAGACATGGTATCCTACCTGCTCATAACAGTGAATGCCACATTTAAGTATGTAGAATAGTGGGAGAAGGTACTGGTTTAGAGTTGGGAAACCTGGCCAAGGCATTGGCTTCTCTCATTTCATCTCAGCAAATTTTGGGGGCACACTTACTGTGTGGTAGGCATTGTGATACAAAGATAAATAAAACATTGGCCCCCTCCCCTTGGAGCTCATGGGACTTTTACTAGATAAGTTGGGAAATTTTATTTTGTCATATGTTGTAGGCAAGCCAAGGAAGTACACTGTTTTCCTGGAGGTGGTAAATGCCATCTGTAAAAGGCAGACTGAAGCCAACAGTGTATGAGGGTATTGAGCCTGATATGTAAACTATTTTGATGTCGCTTCTCAAAAATAGCCATCTGTACTCTGATATCCTGTAACAGGAATGACTTTGGTAATAAGGTTATAAAAATTAGGAGTATGGCTGGGTGCAGTGGTTCACGTTTATAATCCCAGCACTTTGGGAGGCCGAGGTGGGTGGATCACCTGAGGTCAGGAGTTCCAGACTAGCCTGGCCAAGATGGTAAAACCCCGTCTCTACTAATAATACAAAAATTAGCTGGGCGTGGTGGCGTACACCTGTAATCTCAGCTACTCGGGAGGCTGAGGCAGGAGAATCACTTGAACCCGGGAGGCAGAGGTTGCAGTGAGCCAGGACTGGGCCATTGTACTCCAGCCTGGCTGACAAGAGCGAAACTCTGTCTCAAAAAAAAAAAAAAAAAATTAGGAGGGTGAGGTTTGGTTGTGTCTTGTCCCTTCTTGCTTTTGGGCACAATTAGGTCGTGTTGTTGCTTCACTTAGGGTAAGTATGTGGTTAAAAGTGAAGGATTTTAGGATTTTTAGGGCAGTGGAACTACTGTATATGTGCTATAAAGGTGGATACTTGGCATTATAAATTTTTCCAGACCCATAGGATATACAGTACCAGTAGTGAAGCCTAATGTAAATTATGAGCTTTGAGTGATTAATTTTAACAAATGTACCAGTCTAGTGGGGGATGTTGATAATGGGAGAGTCCATGTAAGTGTGGGGGCAGGGCATGTATAAAAAATCCCTGTACCTTCCACTCAATTTTCGCATGAAACTAAAACTACTCTAAAAAGTCTTTTACATTTGAGGTCAGGAGTTCGAGACCAGCCTGGCCAACATGATGAAACCCCGTCTCTACTATAAATACAAAAATTATTTTGGGAGAATGCGCCTATAATTCCAGGAACTCGGGAGGTCAAGGCATGAGAACTGTTTGAACCCAGGAGGTGGAGGCTGCAGTGAGTTGAGATTGTGCCACTGCACTCCAGCCCGGGCAACAGAGCAAGACTCCGTCTCAAAAATGAATAAATAAATAAATAAATACAAACAAACACTATTTTAAAAAAGCTGACTAAGAAGACATCAAGCACAACTTTACCTAGTTCTAGATACTGCTCTAGTAATAAAAGTGATAGTATTAAAGGTACTTGTGATGTAGGGGGCAAAAAGTGCAGGTGTGTGCTGTTTCTCTTGAATCCCTTAACAGTGTCACTCTGGAGCTTGGAAATCAGTTAAAGACCACTGAAGAGGAAGCTGAAGCTCTGTTGGTCCATCAATAATACTGTGACAACCAAAAATTTGCATGAGGGGACTTAAATGAGTCAGGAAACATGTGATTTAACTTAGTGAAGATTTTCGCTCCTTTCAAGTTCCTGTTAATGTTAGTTCTCTTTGACATACGAATGTGTGATTTTAGGGTGGGGTTGTCTGGGATGGTTTTTACTGTAATAAAGAACACTTGTTGAAGGACTTCTTGTCTTCTGCCAGTTTACTTATATCTTAACACAGTACCTCCGGCCTCAAAGATGGAATCCAGTTAAAGTGAAAGCAGAGCCAAACCGTATGCAGGGAAAACTGACCTTGTAGATTTCATTTTCAGTGACTGATACGAGATTGTGTCCTTCTGATTTGGAGCATATTGAAGAATTCAATGCTGGGCAACATTTTTCCTGGAATTGAAATGTTCATCGGGTTTTTACTCTGTCTTGAAATAGGTCCCCAAAATAGAGTTTTTCAAACTTCAGTGGTACATATAGCAAGTGTACAAATCACTTGAGGATTATGTGAAATACAGATCCTGATTCAACAGGTCTGGGGTAGGGTCTGAGTTTCTTCATTTTGAACAGGTGCCCAGGTGTCTTAGTCAGCTTAGGCTGCCGTAACAAAATACCATAGACTGACTGGGTGGCTTAAAATCCAGAAATTTACTCCTCATAGTTCTTGAGGCTGGAAGTTCGAGATCAGGCTGGCAAGCATGGTTTGGATCTGATGAGGGATCTCTTCTTGGCTTATAAGATGCTACCTTCATGCTGTGCCCTCACATGGCAGAGAGAGAGGGAAAGACAGTGAGAGAGCCAGGTTTCTTACGTCTCTTCTTATAAGGGCACTAATTCCATCACAAGGGCCCTAGTCTCATAACCTCATCTAAATCTAATTACCTCCCAAAGGCCGCATCTCCAAATAACATCAAACTGGGGGTTAGGCTTCAACATATGCGTTCTGGGGCAACACAGTGTTAAGCACCAGGTGCTGCTGCTGCTGTTCTACAGACCTTATTTTGAGTAGCAAGGCCCTAAAAGAAGCTTAATATACCCCTGACAATTTGAGGGTCCTAAACATGCCTTACTTAACTCTAAGATAATTGATGCAAGAGATCAAAATTGTTAAGAAGTCTAAATTTTATGAATGTAATAAATAGTTTGGTAAAGTCATTGTTGCTCATGCTA